GAAGTTGATTTGAAAGTCTTAATAAGTGCTGTCATCTCCTTCCTAGTTGTGTGGTATGGTTTCTGAAAGAGCTCAGAAAGATTTCCTTCAAATTCTATCCCCACTGTGCTTTTCTGTGACTCCATGAGATTCTGTGGCACAGTGATATCAGTGCTAACGACTGAGTATGCTGATCAGTAACTGTATAACTTTGCCTTTATTACAATTGTTATTTCAATTTGTAACCTGAAAAGGATAATTGTACATTAAAAACCTGTTTTCAACCTACATAAAACTTGCCAGGGAGGACTGGGCATTGTGAGGAAGTGCTTTTCCGTTGCCTTGTTTTTTAGGAGCATGTCAAAAAATAATGATTGTATTTTGACCTTATCGTGTATCCAGTTGGTCTAAATATGTTTTGTACATTTGCCCCCTCTATTTAAACTATGCTTTCATTTTTCTGTTTATGCTTCACATCGACAGTATGAGTCTGCAAGATCACTCCCCTGGTGTTCTTCATATTGTGTGTCTAGAAAGTAGTAACTTGAGTTTACTATGGCTTTTATGAAGATAAATCTTACTCAGGCTCTTCCCTGCAAACTCCACACTGGCAAGTGCAGATTCTCACATTTCTAGTGGTCTCTAAATTCTGAGATTCACATCCCCTTAATGGATATCTTGAGTTTTTTCAGATCATATTCAGAAAAATAACTATTTTTTTAACTGTATCCTAGCAGGTCTGCAGAATGTCTCTCTTGCTACTCCTTTTATTAAATGATTAAATTAAATTATCCTGACTTAATTAAGAAATAAAGCTTATGCAGTCACCCTGTCTATCCTTGTGCCTGCTTCTCTGTCTGTCCATGAATATATCTCCAAGTTCCTCTTTAGTGGGAGTAAAGTTAATTACCTTCCTATAATTGGGATAGGAGGGACAAATTAATGCCATTCTTGAGGAAGGGAAGGCAGGATTTTTATACTTGGTATTTGGTAACAGTCAGCTGCGCATGTACATCTAGCTTCTGACCCTGAATAGCACTTTTATGTCTTCTCCACGGTGAAGACCATCATAGGTGATATGGGGAGAGTTCAAGTATGTCCCATAGGAGAGGTTAAGAAACAAAGAACAGAAATTTGCAGAAGACCAGGCTTCATCAGGCTTCATCACTTTAATTTGGCAAATAACTTGCAGTGCTTTATGTACTCTTTGGTCTGCTATTGGATATTTGGCCTATGTTTTATGAAACACTGATTCATCTCACGGGTACTGTTATGTGCTTTAACAGTCTTTTTTGGTGGTGGTGAATTTGATTGTTTTACATTTTTTGGCCAGGTGACAATTATTCTGCTTTCAATTCTGACTTTCTTTGAAATATGAACAAACAAACAAATATGCCCAGCATTCTAGTTAACTGAGTCCTCCTAATGGCTATCAGAACAATTTATTCTAACCTTAAAGGTTAACAGCTCTGTCTATGTTTAGAAGTTTGTGTTATATTATACAGGATTTACACTCCCTCTTGCTGCTTCTGTATATAGATGTGCGGCACTATGCTGTCCAGAATTCAAACAGAATCATCTGCCAGCTTCCATATCACCTGAGAAGAAAATAGCAGGGCACTCATACATTGTAGTGTTTTAATACACTGCAGTACACTGTGGATCAATAACACTTTGATTAAATCATATGTTCTTGCACTTTTGTACAAAAAAACCCTTCAGTCTGCTTTCTTGAAATCTGTCACAGAACAATGTTTTTATGTTTAAATATTGTTTTGGATAAACACAGAGGATCAGAACTTGAGTCGTTCCCCATTTACAGGATGTGATAGACTAAATTGCTGCTACTGTTGCCTGCCCAAGAAGCTGCAGTGAATCATTTTATACCACAGGTGCTTTAGACATTTCTGTTCCCTTTTTGTACAGCCTCACCTTTTCCAGATTTCCTGACCCAATGTGAATGAAAGATTACCCACCACACTATACCATTGCTTTTCTGTCCAAGCGAATCTGGCACGTGTTAGACTACTTTGTGAAAACTTTGGATATCTGTACTTTCAGCATTACACTTTTACCAAAATAATGACCATTTCTGTCATTTTAATTCTTGACAGAAGGGGCATTTGAAGTGTGAAAATTAAATCTTGAATTGGTTTCACTATTAAATTAATACTTAATAATGGTTCCTCTAGAAAATAACAAGCCACAGTATTTTTCAGCATTCCACAATGAAATGCAAGAGCTCAAATAGGATGAAGTGTGAAAATCAGAGGAGTGGAGCGATCCCATTTTATGAAAAAAACTCCAGGGCAGAAGGCCCAGAAACACACACTTGGTGTGTCTCTGAATTGCCTTATCATTTACTCCTTTAAGGAGTGGAGAAGACTTGGGCGGGGGGGGGGTCTGATCCATGTGTACAAGTATCTGAAGGGAGGGTGTCAAGAGGATGGGGCCAGTCTCTTCTCCGTGGTGCCCAGTGACAGGACAACGGGCAGAAACTGAACCACAGGAAGTTCCATCTGAACATGAGGAGAAACTTCTTCGCTGTGAGGGTGTCTGAGCACTGGAACAGGTTGCCCAGAGAGGTTGTGGAGCCTCCTTCCCTGGAGATATTCAAAACCTGCCTGGATGTGATCCTGGGCGATGTGCTTTAGGTGACCCTACTTGAGCAGGGGGGTTGGACCAAATGATCTTCAAAGATCCCTGCCAACCCCAGCTACTCTGTGATTCTGCAAAATGACTAAAGCAGGAGTCCTTGCTTTACATAGCTGTGCCTCTTTACAGTGTCAAAAAGATAACAGTAGAGAAAATGGTGATCCAAACTGATAAACAAATAGTAAAAATATTTTTTTAAAAAGGAAGAAGTGAACAGATGTTACTGAGAAACAGGTAAGCCGACTGCTTCATCAGCAGTGGAGAAAAATCTCTTCCCGTGCTGATGGGAGGGATGTGAAGGGAATTTTCCTCCCTGGCTGACTGAGGAAATCATTGTTGTCCAGATGCTTCATTAAATTATGGTCTCGAGAGGCTTTCTGAGTAACTAAAGAAAAAATCAAGGTCTAAGGCATTTCCTGATGTTTTCATGACCCAACAGAAATATGAATAGCTATTAAACCCAACTGGTCATTAATTCCCCTGTTATTGCCCTAGGCTGATCATGTCTGTAATAACTAATTGGATTCGGTTTCATTAGACAATTAAAGCCTCTAATTTCCTCCCATGGTGCTAGGTTTCTTCCAGTTTGGTGTGGCGATCGGGCTTACACTCTTTCTGCTCGGTCTGGGACTGTGTTTGCACCTGGAGCAACTCCTTTTCCAACTGCTCCTGCAAATAACTTATTTAAAGTGCAGACCTCTTCCATAGGATCTGTAAAAATCTAATTCTCTGTTTCAACTAATAGGAACAAGAGAGATGAGAGAGATGGCAATAAAAGCAGCTACAGAGATATTAAGTGTCGTGATCATTTTTAATATTGGGGAGCTTTGTTTCATCCTTATGCATTTTTGGTTGTATTTACTGGGTTTTTTTATAGGTTACTATAATACCTGCAAATACTATCTTGTGGGCAGTATGTAAATTATAAGAATGATTTTGTAGCAAGTTAAATCAACTGATTTGTCAATCATATTTCTGCATTTCACAGGAAGCTTTCTTGTGATTAGATTTTTATCAATTTGGAAATCTTAAAATATGTTAAATACTCATACTTTATGCTTAAAACTTTAAAGAATATGAAAATAGCTCAAAAGCAATGGTAATTTCTGGTGAATTATTTCAGATGTGAAAGCTCATCATGGTGAACCCACTGCAGAAAAATATAAGCGAATAGAGTCACAGTAGATTTTGGTGTAGGAAATTTTCATTTTTGGTTGTTGTCTTATGCTAGATGCGATAACTGAAAACTCTTAAAAGTTGTGCTTGCTCCCGTGGCCTCCTGCGGGTCTCTAAGAGAGGCTTCACTCCATATGCTCAGCGTTATCCATGTGATTCATGAGCTCAACGGCAGCTCATTTTCAAGATTATATTTTTTGAAAACTGTTGGAAGTGACAGCTTGCCATACGCTGCATATCTGTTACGGGCATTCACCCCAGCACTTCATTGGCAGTCGCAGTTTCATGAGTGTTTCAGAGGAGAATGACTATCTGCGCGTAGTTCAGTCTCCCATCTTTTTCTTCCTGTGCTTGTTCGGTGTTTCTTTAGCACAAGCTGTGACTACACATGGTACTTTGTGTGTAACTTGAATATTTTATTCATGAGGTGAGTGGGAATTACTTCACAACATAAGCCAATTTATTCTCGCAAGTTTTTCAGTGCAGAAGAGTTGAAAGCCCTCTTCTCCTTCCTCCCCTCTCCACTGAGGCACGTCATCCCAGCGGCTCGCTCCTACGTCACCCAGTGTGGTGTGGGTGAGGTTGCCACAGCAACAGCACACACTAGGTAACACCCCCTATAACTACAGATGTGTGCGTCAGTTTAAAAGTTTTACTAGGTTTTTATTAGTGTGTGATGCAGTCCCCAGTCATATGCAGTTACTAGCCTGTCCTGCGCTCGCAAATGATCTATTAGTAACCCTTACAGCAGTCATTCTCCCTATTAGCTGCCCTGGGCCCTGCCAGTGAAAATAACTCTGGATACTTCCAACTGTTAAGGCAAACCTGGTTATTTCTTATGCTAAAGCCATTCCAGCTAATTCCAAACAAGCGAAAAAGAAAAGAGAAGGGGGAGCCTTTGGGATGAAATCTCCAGAGGTCTGTCCTGTTTGTTCCTCTGTCCAGCGGGCACCGTAGGAACTGACTGGTGCAGCAGCCATCCCATAGACATGTCAGGCCACTGGACAATACGTACGTCGATCTTTCCTTTTCAAAAGAACCTTTAAAGCAGCTGTAGTGCGTAACTGCTGAAGAAGAAACTGGAGTTGACTACGGTGAACTGTAAAACCTAATTTTATTTCTAATTAAAGCAGCAGCCGTGATAAAAGTTTTCCGTAATATCTAACTTTCAGCTTTGCTCATTTTTTCAGACATGGAGATGACTTGATTGTGACACCATTTGCTCAGGTAGGCACAATTTTGCCATGTTTCTCACATGATCTTGCAATTTAAAGGCCAGAAAGACCAAATCAACTGTTTTCCACTGTTAATATTATACATGCTTGCTTTCAACAGGAAAAAACCCTCTATACAAAAAGTAATAATCTTCCTATTCTATTACCTATACCTCTCCTTTTCTTAATGCTCTTGATTACCTGAAAAGTTGCAAAAGTAGCAATGTGATAAATATCTTGAAACTGGTCTCCTTTCAAATACCATAGCAGACACAGTGGTACTATGCACCGATGAAAACAAATCTGCGTTCTCTGTTACTCTATAGCTGTTTATAATCATGGTTTCTTCTTCTGGACATCTTTTACCTGTTCAATTCAAGGTAATTTTTAGACGACAGATAAGTTTTACACAGAATGCTTATGTTTCTTCACAAAGCTGGATCTATTAGTTTGATTTTTCCATTCAGCTTCTGGGTTCTATAAAATACCAACTCAAAATTCTGTGTAATTTGGATAGAAACTACCCAATTTTTAGCAAAAGAGCTGTCTTGTCATATACGGAAAGTTAACCCTCATAGTCCTTGAACTCATGATAATAGGTTTTTCCCCTGTAGCAGATAGGAATGAAAGTTAATTCAGCCTAACTAGAGAAAAAGAAAAATTCAGGAAGCTGTATGTGTTTTAAGGCATTGAAAAGAAAGAGAAAGGTTGAGTCACACAACAGTCTGAAATAAGAACACCGTGTCCAACTGAAGTTTGAGTACGCAGGTTGCTTTAGTCTAATGCTCTAAATATGCAAAATGAATATTTATTTAATAGTTTATTATATACTTAATTCTCCATTATACTTATCTCCATCTGAGTTTTTATCACAAATTATGCCACATAAATAAGTCAGGTTACAGTATTCCTCAGAAAACAAATACTGCACCACATTCACTGATTTTTTTCTGAGACAAAACACGCTATTTGCTTTAAAGGTGGTTTGGTATTCCTGTGGACATAGATGGATGTGCTTCTGCAATTAGAGCAGGAGCAGTTGGACATTAATGTTACTTGAACCAAGGTGTCATAATTGATTATTTGAACACTTTAACGCTGTTTCAGTGTGAAACACTGTTAGCAGTGGTTTATATCTCCCGTTTTCCTTTGCACTGACCAGGACTAAGAGTACTCACAAGATGAGTTATCACATGGCACGTTCCCCCCACACAAGGAGAATTGAAACGCAGTCGAGAGGTTAGGGGAAGTGCCTCACTGGTGGAAGTGACATCTGATTATGCTCTTAAGAAAAATTAGCCCTTATCGAAAAATGATTTGTATGAGCAAAATCCCATCTCCTTGTGGAGCTTGCTCATAGACTACAACTCCAGATAAGCACCGGGCCCATCCCTCAGATTTTCTTTAGCAGTACTAGGGCCTCACTGAGGACTTCAGAAGTTGGACCCCACATGCTAGTATAATGCATATACCTCATATAAACCACCGTTTTGGTTTCTTCTTAATAAGAGCAGTACTTCCTGATGTAGATTCTTTTTGTTTTGTTTTGTTTTGCAAAGAGCAAAGGCACTGTTTTAACCAATTTGGGACTTCCTAGTGACACATGCATGTGGAACACGTTCTATTTATTTCAAAACGTCCTTATTTTCTTCAGTCATGCAGGAGGCTTGTTTCATATGATTGTGAGCCACCTGGTGGTAATAGTTCAATTTTTAGCATTTCAATCACTATTCAGCGTATCACCATATCACCATGGTAGCCCAGTTGCATACTATCTTACCAGAGGCAATGAGGAATGCTATGCCTGTCACATAGCATCTGGCCCCAGACAAGACAATTTACTATTTTTATCAGAAATAGGATTCAGTAAACTAAATAAAAATCTATCACAATGATATTATTAGTTGCACTTCCTTATAAAATAACATAAACCAGCTGCTCTAATTCTTAGAATTTCACTTTTCAAAATAACATAGTTTGAATGATTTGAAATTTAAGAACCAACCTTATAGTCTTTTAACACCACAGAGGGTTGAATAATTTAATCTGCTTAGGACTATTCACATATAACTTGATTTTGAACTTAATATTATTTACTTAGAGATTAAAACCTAATTTGCAGGTTGCCTTTTTTGCTCAGAACTCTAACTCTGGAAACATTAAGCACAAGTGGAACCTCTGTGGTCAGAGAAATTGTCACTTAAAGCAAATTATAATGAAAAAGTGGAAATGGGAATATTATTATATAAACTGCTGCTTAATATTATAGATGCAGAAATAATCAATCTTATATTCAATAAATCAAGTTGTTTAGCATCAGAATTCACTGCAACCAAAGGCCAAAGGTTTGTTGTCACTCTTATGTTCATTGCTATGTCTGTGGAGACCCCTTGCACTTGCAGAAAGTGCCAAGGTATGCTCGTAGTGTGCTATAGCAGCTGGAACACTGGGCAGATACTGGACATTTTACCCCTTGTCCAAGAAAATCGCTATGTAACCTGCCAGAAGAACAAAATAGAGGGACATACAAGTTATACAGTCAAGTCTCCACTTCCTAGAATAACAGGGATTCATAATGACTCGGACAGTGGAAAAATCGGGACAATGTGCATAGTGATCTGAACTAAACAGAGACTCCCTGCTGTCTCTTCAGGGGCCCAGGCTTGGGTCTAGACTTACGAAGCTTCAGTTCGTAATTGGCCCTGAGCTGTCTTGCAGCTCTGCACGCTCCTTTTTTCAACAGTCCAAGTTCTAAGTGTCATATTATTTCAGATGTAACACAAACCTCAACTAGGTTCACGTGCAGCAGGTACAGAGACATTTATTTAGGTCCAGCAGAGGCAGAGCTAATAAGCATAGCTGTATCTGAGGCGACTCACTGAGGAGTCAGCTCCCAGTTCTAGGTGCACCTGAATATATAGCCAGTTTGAGTCCAACAGGGCTTATTGAGTAGGAACTTACAGCCAGGAAAATGGACTACTTTTTTTCATGACTCAAGACAACTCCGGGAGCCACGTAGATGTGTTTATATGTGGTGCAGCGCTGCCTCTAATAACCACAGCACATACAAGCAGTCTCAGCATCCTGGCATAGGTAGATCAGAACCCAGACAGACAGACCAAAGAGAACTGAAAACTAACTGCAGTCAATAAAATGTACGTCCTTCTTTAACATGCCTAACTTTTTTACTTTTATCCTTTCTCTCCTTCCACTTTTAGCTCATCCTTTCCTTTTAAAATATTTTCTCATGTACTTCCTCAGTATTTTCTTAGTATTTTCTGTCTTCATCTTTTACGAACACAGCATCTCCAGTCCTGTTTTGTTCACTTCACGCCACGTTCCCATCTAGGTATATCCATCATCTAGACATAACATTTGTTAATGTCACAATATCCTGGGAATGCAAATTTTATAGAATAAAATTACTTTCATTCAGTGCCGAATGTAAAATACGTATGTTTGCCTCCTTGTCCTGATCTTTGTAAAGAAAAACATAATGAAATGGATACTCCCTAACAAAGCAACAAATGTATTAATTTAACCCATCTGGGAATTGCCTACAGTAACTTGGACTCTGCTAATCATGATTATCTCCTGAATATTTGCTGTCTGTTACAAGCTTTTTAGAAGTCCTTTATGTGTTGCCAGCTTCCAACCCACTTGCTTCTTCACTTATAAATGTAAGGGGCTGTGGAGACAGGGTTGTATCCTCCTTGACTCAGACCTCAAGAGCCCACATTCCCATTCCCAACTTTGTTAGTCTCATTCGAATGCGTGGGTTGTCCAGGGAACCAAACCAGTCTGGGCTGAGAAACAACCACGACCGACTACCACAGGGACACATCAGCGATTAGTTTTGCTGCCTCCTCTCATTCCCTGTCAAGTTCTAAATAATTAATGGTTCCCTCTCTGACATTGCTAAACTGCTGCTCCCTAGTCAGACAGATGTATCGTATTATACTTACGTGGTACAAAATTTGATGTATTTATCCAATTTCCATCAGTGGAGACTGCATATGCTACTTACAACAAGAAGACACTCCTCTATTGCCTCCTTTAGCTGCTGTCTTGCCTAGAAGGAAGCCCAGACAGGAAGTACTTAGTTTGTATCACCTTTTTCCATGGGCAGATCTTGCAGGAGTCCTCAGACATTTCCCACCTGCTCAGGTGATACCTTCCTCTAACTCTGGCCTTCTGTCCAAAGTGCCCATAAGAATGGGACCCCTTAAGGAAGCCACTTTTATTTTTCCTGCCAGGCTGGACAATCTCATTCCCTTTGTCCTTTGAGGTTTGTGGGGGCTGGGCTGCAAATGGAAAATTCTCTAATCATTTCTAATGCATGAAGCAATAGGCTTGAATGGGCTATTATCTTCCAAACATGAATGCTTTTATGGTCACTTTAGAGAACTAAGTAGTATTCTGTGAAAAACTTTCCTCCTCTTCAAGTAAGGCTCTTTAAACAAATGATGAGTTGTTTATGAGGAAAAAAAAAAGAAAGAAATGATTGCTCTTGCATTACAGACATGTTATTGTTAAATAATGGTCAAAGGCCTCAGACATTAAACCAATCCTGGAAACCTTTTACAGTTGTCTTGCAATGTCCTTTCCTTTTCCTGTCAGCACAGTGGAGTGCAGATAAATCAGTCTTACCTATGTAGAAATTTAGGATGCAACTATTTTGTCTGTTCCAGGTGCTGGCCAGCCTGCGTACTGTACGGAATAACTTTGCTGCATTAACCAATTTACAAGATCGGGCACCCAGCAAGTGAGTGTCAGTTTTTTGAGACTAAACTTTTTGCAGTGGTACTTTTTAAATTTTGAAATGAAGAATGACAAGATTAGATGTTGCAGACTTCAGTCTGTCACTAAAATTGTATAAATCATGTGATGACTAATGATTTTATTAATCCCTTGAAACCGTTATACCTGATAGCTGAGACAAGGGCCCCATCGCTTACTAATTGCTCCTCTATTTCTGTCTGTGCATAAACTTGGAGTGGTTTTTGTGGATTTTCAAAGATTTTCAATAAATTTGTTATATGTTAAAGATGCCGTTCTCCACCCATCCTTACCTCACTGTATCAGTCCAGCAAATTCTAGCTTTCTTAAATGAGCAAAACAATACACTGAGCTGTTTGCCCTAAAGATTATTGCAAAATATATATTCAAAAAACAAAATGAAACAAATTATAATTTACAATGGCCATGTTAGAGTAATGATAAATATGTATACGGATCAAACTTCAAGCTAGGTACAAGTGCTGGGTAAGGTGCAGGTTTTTAATGAACTTGTAAATTCTTAAAATATTCCCCTGCTGGAGTTCCCAATCTGGAGAGAGATTTGAGGGTGAGTTGTGAATTTCCTTCTGCACTAGAAAGAAATATCTATACTATAAAGAAATATTTCAACTAGAACAAATATTTGAACTTTTTTCTTGTCAATGACAGTATGTTCCAGCTCCAAATAACTTCCCAAGGAAAAGTATTTTCTATTAGATTGTTCAAAGATTCAGTAATCTATAAGATTATCAGGCTTATACCTTTTTTCTTTTCCTTATCAGACGGTCACCAATGTGTAACCAACCATCTATTAACAAAGCAACTATAACAGGTAAGAGAAGTTAACGTGATTGCAAATTCATCTGTGAAAGCACCATGGTTTTCTAAATTTAACATTTATGAAAACTTAAGTTTCAATGAAAATTGAATTTTAAAATAGTAACCTAATATTCTTTTATATACTTACATCTATTTTATTAAAGAGAGTTTGAGTCATGTAGTTGTAAATATTTTTGGTTACATATCACCACCAGTTCGTTCTCAAATTTTTGGTAGTTCTTTTTTTGACATGATGGTCCTTGTTCTCCATTTTTCTTCCTAGATCAGCATGTGAGTGTGTCATGATTACCTGCATTAGTAACTTTTTGCAATTAAATGTAGTAGAAAGAACTGATATGAAGAACAGATTGATTTTTATTTGGGAGGTGGAGTTCTGTAGTTATACTGAGGCAAAGTCTTGGCATTACAAAACTTTAGGCAATGAGGGGAAATTTTCAAAGCTAACTGTAGTGATTCTATTTCTATAACATTTAGGTGCTTAAAAGAAAAACAATTTATTTCTAAAAGACACTTATTTCTAAAGAAATATGAACTTGAAATCGGGATCCTAAATGACATGATCACTTTTTAAAATTTTACTCTGTAACACTTTTGGTTAGTATTGGTATTGCTGGAATTAGTATTTGGCAACTTGGGTATCTTTATGGGAACACACCTTATTTCACATCATCTTTGTTAATACATGTTAATCAATGTGTTCTTACACAGTGTAATTTTCCAGGTAGTTACATCCTCAATGGCATGCTGGTAGACTAAGAGAGCATTTGCTTTGCCTCTAAATAAACATGGAGAGACACTTAGTAAACAGATAATTTATCATTTAAACAGAAAACTTATCATTTCCAGAATTTTCAACATGATTTTTTTTTCCAGCTGGAACTTGGCTTGATTTTTACTGATTATCTTCAAACTCTTGTCTTTTTAGTTGTATAATAGGATTGTAACTCAAGGAACAAACAGTAATTTAGCTTTTTTTGAAGAGAAGTGTGGCTTTGTCATGTTCAACAGTTCTTTTCTTAGGCTTCGAACGTGATAAAATGCTTAGTTTTTTTCATCTATCCACACACCATATACACATTTACCTCTAAAAGATCCAGCCTTGGGAGTTCTGTACTTTTTTATTCTCCAAGGAACTCAATTTGTAATCTGAGCATTTGTGCTTAGGGCTCATCGGGAACAGAAGGTTAAACCTTATAAATCCACTCTATGCACAGGAAAGCATCCTCAGTTAAGAATGTTTTGCAATCATCCTTAAAGTCATAGTAATTAAATAAATTGGGAGGGTGGATGACAGAGAATAAACGCATAGATCACTCATGACCTGCTTCTTGTAAAATCCTTTGTTAATGTATTCCTTGAAGAGGTAATTCTGGATGTTGGTTTCAAACTACCATCCATGAGCCATTTCAATTATTGATAGATGTTTCACATATTTTTAATTGTGAGCTTTACTTGTCTCATTCAGCACAGTCATCCCGAAGTCTATTATCTTAAATGGAGGGCAGACAGAGTTTTCTGAAAAATATGTCTCTTTCCTGTGGTTCCAAGGAACTAGCTTTAGAAAGTCTATTTTACAGTAAAATCCCTGATAATCAAAGAAAATGTGATATCCAGAACAGAAGATATGCATGCACATGAACATACAGCAAGCCCACCTCATATGCTCTCCTACTGCGGTTTGCCTGAAGTCTGCTGCTTTTCTCCAAGAGGAGAAACTGCTCAGACAGCAGGACCCAAGACACGCTCTGCTGGAAGTTAATGTTGCTCTTTTTAAATTCCCCACTGATCTGAAGGTTTCCATTCAGTTAATCTCCAGAGTACACTGTACATGTCAGAGACAATAAATCATCTGAAGTTTAGAAGGAAGGTAGTGTGGTCAGTGGTGCAACTATTCTAGAAAATGTTTCTGTGCCAAGAAATTTAAAGGAAACAAGAGTAAGGGTAATTTAATCTAATTTAATCTGATTTATCAGAGAAGCTACTGGAACTGCTGTGCCCAAACTATGCATTGAATTGGGTGAGTTGGGGCCTGTGCGAGTTGGATATAAGAGGCTAGAAGACGTTAATGATACAGAAGAAATATTAAAAGCATGAAACTATAAAGCATGAAAATAGCTGCAATTCACTTTAGCTGTTGAATGAAGATTGAAGCTGGATACTATTTTGCCGAAATGGGTTCGTCCATTCTTAGTCATAGCCTGTTTTTGATATTTCCATAGCAACAAATTTCATGATGTAAGCACAGAAGTATGCCTAGGTGCTTTCTTGGGGCATATAAAATCCTAGTAAAGCATGTTGCAATAAGGCACTATGCTAAGAAGAAAAATATATTACAAACACTTCTCCTGCTCTTCTTAGAATGATTAAAGCCCTTTCAGATGCCATCATGCTTTTTGAATTCTTCTCAGGAATAC